GTGCATATTCTGCTGAGCCATCTCCCCAGTCCCCACCTTTCTGCTTTAATTTGTGGGTGTTTGGCATTTTTTGTCTCAGAAATAAGAAAACTAACTAAGATAGACACTCAGTGGGGCATCTGCCATTGCTGCGTGTTTGTTTGTTTGTTTGTTTGTTTGTTTTGCAGAACCAGGGATTGAACTCAGGCCCTTGCGCTTGCCAGGGAAGCACTTATTCTACTGAGCCATCTCCCCGGCCTGTTTGGTTTTTTAAGACAGGGTGTTGCTACAAAGTTCAGGTTGGCCTTGAACCCACTATGGAGCCCAGGCTGGCCTTGAACTCATGGCCCATGATAGCCTTAAAGTCCTCTTGCCTTAGTCTCCCAAATGCAAGGATTACAGGTGTGCGCCATTATGCCCAGTTGCGATGGCCATGGGTTTGCCACCATGGGCTTCCTCCAGGTTCCCTCTCATGTGCTTTTTCTTCAACAATGGGGATTGACCCCAGGGGTCAGGGGTGCTCACCAATCAAGCTACCTCTCTAGTTCTTTTTATTCTTTTACTATGAAACAGGGTCTCATTAAGCTACTCAGAGTGGTCTCAAACTTGTGATCTTCCAGTCTTGGTCTCCTGAGTAGATGGGATTACAAATATCCACCCTTCCAGCAAAATCTAGGGCCCACCCTCATCACAGGCAGTGGGTGTCAAGGGCCAAAGCCTAGTGTGTTCTGCAAAGAGCAAGGGCCATCCCGTGTGGCCTAGAAGACTGCTATCTCTGAGAGATAAATGAAGGAGCACTGACAGTTGAGGGACCTTCCATATCTTCATTGTTAGTACTGAGAATTGAACTCAGGGCCTTTGCACTGAACCACATCCCCATTTCCCCATTTCCCCCTTTCTCCTGGACAGCCTCTCCTTAAGTCATAAATTGTCCAGACTGGGCTCAAACTTGTGACCTTTGGTGCTTGGGTTATAGGTGTGGACCACACCTACCTTTTCAGTTTCATTACTGGCAGAAGAGATGTGCTGCTTTCTCCTTTATGAATGGATAATTGAGTAAATACACACAGGGACTTCTTCACAGCTGTCAAAGCCTTCCTACCATCATCTCATATTGACAACGACCCATTTGAGTGGGTCATTTCATTTATTTACTTATTTTTGAGACTGGTTTTGCTATATTGATTAGGCTGGCCCTGAACGCCTCAGCTCAAGCAACCCTCCTGCGTCTGCCTCCTAAGTAGCTGGAACTATAGGTGTATGTCCTCGTGCCTGGCAAATTCCCTACTTAATAGGTGGGGAAACAGAGACTCAGGGAGAAAGGTATCAGGCACAGCAGCAGAACCAGAACAAGAAGGCAGAATTCCTGACTCCCAGAGCCAGAGTCGTAGCCAGCTGTCTTGCTGACTGCTTCTTTCCCTCTCTGTGGGTTTTGTTCATAGTCTGTCAGGCTCAGATTGTAACTTTGCCAGGACGGGCACTGTGTCTCTGGAAGCAGGCATTGTTCAGTCTCTGTCCTGTGGGGTGCACAGGACATGTGACAGCTGCTCTGTGCACACTCACACGCTTTGCACACCACAAAGGCAGTACCTTCCCACGCGGAGATCTGTGCTGGGTGAGATAGGCAGCTGCCACCGCCCGCCCGGGGAACCTCCGCCGGGGCATAACAAGCAGCGACCACAGGGTGGCAGTGTGTTCTCAAGCCTGTGACTAGAAAAGCGGCCTAGGTACGAAGATCGTGGGGGTGGGGCAGACGCAGGAGCCCCAAGCCAGCTGCCCAGAAAGTTGGCAAGTGCAGAGCCCCTGGAGGACTGGAGAGGCAGGGCTCCTGTGTGCCTGGGGGTGGGGGGGGTGTGCGCAGGCGTGCAGACGCGCACAGTCGGCTGCAAGCCCAGGGCCAAGCACCAGTGTTGAAGGGCAGCTAGACATGGGCTGAGCCAGAACGACAAAAAGATAAAGGAAACCAGGGCAGCCAGCATAGTGTGGAAGGGTGGGGAAGGGGGCTGCCGAGGTCCGAGGGGAGGGCTTTTCGGAGCGCTAGGAAAATGATTACCCCGAGAAAACAAGCAGGAGAAAAACCAAGGGAGAGACAAAGAAGCCAGAAACAGAAGAGGGTAAGCCGAGGAAGACTGGCTGGGGAAAGTAGGTTAGGAGGCTGGGGTGGGAGAAGGGAGCCCCCAGAGGCTGGGAGAGTCGGGAACCTTCAGTGCACAAGAAAGAGTCAGGCTGAGGCTTGCTGCTGACAGGGGGTTTATTTGGGCTGAGCTGCAAGGAGGATCTGCTGCTGCTTTTGCTTCAGGTCAGAGCTGCCCAGGCTCCAGTTGTGGCAGTGGCCCCAGCTCTGGCTCTGGCTCTGGCTCCAGTTCTGGCTCTGGCTCCAGCTCTGGTTCTTGTTCCACCTCCTCAATCTTGCTCTCAACCTGAGGAGGGCGAATCTCAATCTCTAAAGCAGAAAATCTTCTCAGTTTCCACTGTGGGAAGAGATGGAAGGAGACGGAGTGGGAGGAGGAAATGGATGAAAGGAAGAGGCAAAGGAAGGATGCTGAGTCTGTCTATGTGTTTGCTCCAAGGCCTTCTACCCTTTCCCAGGTGCGGAAGGACCTTGAAAATGCAGAGGCTGAAGAAGAGGGTCCCTGATGGTGAGTCCAAGGCCCTGCTTGGTCATCTTTCCTGACAAAGAGGTGCCAGACCCACTCTGAGGACTGAAGGAAGTCAGGGGGTCAGGGTGTGTCCCTGGCTTACCTGTCTTTTCCAAAGGTGAAAGCCAAATGCTCCAGTCACCAAAAGAAGCAATGAAAGAGTAGTCAAGATGAGAAAGAGAGGGAGCTGGCCTGCTTTGAAGGCACTTGGGGCTCTCCCAGCGCGCTGAGCACCTATAGAGAAAGCACAGAATCAGGCACAGGTCAGGAATGGGTGCCCCTCGCCTACTTGACAGATGCAGTGAGGGCCTGAGGATTTAAGGGACTTCTCCAGCACCCTTCAGCTAAATAATGGTCCACATAGGTCAGGCCTGAAAGGAAGTTGAGGATAGGTCCCTGACAGCAAAAAGAGCTGGGTAGGGCAAGTAGCTGGGAGTAGGGTCAGGAAGGGGGACCAAGATAACTGCTTTGGAATTGGGGGCCTCAGACCTGGGCTAGACTCTGGCATATACATTGTTGCTCCAACAAGTCTCTTCCCCTGATGCACCTGGCACTGCCAGGGCTGGGAAAGGAGCTTGTCCTCAGGCATCTCCAGCCAGGGTCCTGGGAAACTCCTTCTGGATTCCCTGTCCAGGGGACTCCACACAAAGTGCTCACGTCCAGATGCAGGGGTCACCTCACACAGCAGCCTCCCTGGGGAGCCAGGCAACCCAGAGAATTTGGTGGTCACTGAAAAAATTAAAAGGGAGATCTCTTGGAGTCCTAATGCTTTTTCTTTTTACCACAGGTTCAATCACAAGTCTCTCCTGCTCCACTAAGTTTCTGATTGGCTAAGGCTGGGAGGAGATCAAGTCATAGCCAAATTAATCTTTTTGTTGGTGACCAATGTCAAGGGCACTTTTACCACATTTCCAACCATTTCTCTAATTTTTGAAACAAGGCCTTGCTAAATTGCCCATGCTGGTCTTGAATTTCTGATCTTTCAAGCTCAGCCTCCCGGAGTGCTGGGATTACAGGCCTGTACCAACATGCTGGACCCAAATTAATCTCAACACAATGATGCTCTGGTCAGGTTGCTCACTTGCTCCAAATCATTCCAAGCTCTCCAAGGCATTTTTCAAAGTCAAACTAACCGAAGGCCACAGAAGAACTATTATTACAGATTCTTTTACAATACTTTTTCTTTGAAAGTCTCAGACCCTCACTACCAGTTAGGTGAGTTGGATTCTGATACACTTGGCGCTTTTTCTCCTTCCATGATCTGGCTCACATCAGTGTCCCCTGCCTTGTGGTGACCCCAAATGTATTTCATTTCCCTTTCTGAAATTTAGAGAACAGTGAACCAACCAGTTGATCTAAAGACAGAGCCTCTCTGGGGCTGATGAGATGGCTCAGTGGTCTAAAGCACCTACTTAGAACAAGCTAAGCTAAGCAAAGCACAGGGACCACGGTTCCCTCCCCCAGCACCACATGCCAGCCACACACACACACACACACACACACACACACACACACACACTAAATAAATAAATATTTAAAAAATAATAATAAAGACAGAGCCTCTCTAAGCTCTTTAGTAATAGATAGGGGGACTAGAGGAGACAAGTGATGAAAGACCTTGACCTTGACATGGCCTGTGGGGAGAGAAAAGGTTTGGTGACACCGATCCCTGAGTTTAGTCTGAGTCTGGCACTTTCTGCTATGTGATTTTGAGAACATTCCTTTTTTTTTTTTTTTGGCGGAACCAGAGCTTGAACTCAGGCCCTTGGGCTTGCCAAGGAAGCGCTTATTCCACTGAGCCATTTCCCCAGCCCCTCTTTTTGTAAAGCAGGGATTACTATCTCTTCTACTGAATTAAGAAGGCACTAGATAGGAAGAATGAATGGGCTTTTGGAGACCAAATGGATTCGGGAAAAGAGGAGGCCAGAGTCTGAGGCACTGGAACATAAATAACAGGATAAATCAGCAAGGCAATCGGCACAAGGAAAAGGCAGGATCCAGGGTGAGGCTAAGGAGTGGTCTAATAGCTAGGGAGAGAGATTCAGGAAGCAGGTAGAAAGTCAGGATTGCATTCAGCACATGCATTATTTGTTAGCTTATTAATTTATTCACGCAGCCAAGGTAACTTATTAAGCACCTACTAAGTGATGCTATTTCAGTGACCTCAGGGGAATACTGCCCACGTAGCTAACCTGTTATGGCTAATAATCACCCATCAATGCACACACACTTTGAGTAATTTTTTTTTTCTGTTTGTTTTATACTGTCTTGGAAAACCCTTGCTCAGTAAATATTTACTGACCAAGAGACTGATTTATTAACTCCTTCCAAATCCAGGCCAATTCCTGCAACTTTAACCCAAACCCTGGCCCCAAAATAGATGAGAATTCTAGAAATCCATTCCACCTCTTTCGAAACATTCAAATGTTTGCCACCTCCCCTTCTGACTTCTCAGGCCTTCCCACCAACTCAGAGCAGGGGAGTCCCTTAGAGAAGAGTGAAACGCTTACTCTGTGACTCAAGGGAGATTTTCAGTTTCAGTTAGTTATGGGGGTGAGAAAAAAGACCATGGGTTGTACCCAGTGGCCTGGGATCAGAGGGTAGATTTACACAGCCTTTAACCAGCCAACCTTGCCTCCCTGTCCTTGCTCCACTGGCACAGGGGCTGCTCCTTCCCCACCTGATGCTGACCTGTGATGACTGCCAAAGTGACCATCGCACTGAGCTGCCTCCCTTGTAGATGAATCTGGCAGGTATAGGTCCCAGCCTGGGCCAGACTCACAGCCTCTAGTCGAAGGATGAAGCTGCCATTGTCTCCAGCCACCAAGATGTCTGGGCCTCCACCAGGAGGAGCCCACATGGCCATGAGGGAAGACTGGGTTGTCACACCAGGAGGCAGGTGACATGGTAACTCTGCCCTGGACCCTGCTCCAGCATATACTGTCAAAGGGGTTTGGGGTTCCAGACCTGGAGAAGAAAAAGAACCTAAGTTGAAGCCCAGGAGGGATGCAGTGGGGCCAGAGTGCTGGAGAGAAGGAACCCAGGGACTGCGGGTTGTGTGCCTGGCAGGAAGAGAGGCAGAAAAATAAGGGAGATGGGGGCTGTGAAGAGTGTGAAGGAGCAGAATAAGCTGTGTAAACTGAAGACACCCAGAGCCCCAGAGTGGGCTGACTGGACCAGGCCAGCAGATCCACCACTGGCAGCTGAGGCCACATGGCCAAGGGGAAAGCTAGAGGAGGAGCCAGTGCTAGAAGGCTCCTGCAGAAGGATGGAAAGAGTCACACACTGACTAAGGCCCGGAGCACCCAAGGGTGACGCTAGCTACCAAGAACCTAGTTCAGGGACCCATGAGTCAAGGAAGGAGATGGGGCGCAGGAAGGCGTTGTGGTCAAGTGTAAAGGCAGATGAGGGGAGTTACCCTGAACAGTGAGGTTGTGTGTGATCCAGACTTTGAAGCCATCTCTATAGGTGAGGATGCAGCCCCAGATCCCAGAGTCCAAGGGGCTGACTTGGGGCAGGAAGAGGAAGCTTTCAGCTGAGTGGTGATGGGAGGACTCCTGCACAGGGATGTGGCCTGGACCCCGAAACCAGTGGACAGAAGCTGGGCGGTCTGGGCGGCTGAAGGAGCAGTTCAAGATGACCCAGTCAGAAGTCCTGAGAGGTCCCGCAGGGCTGGCTGTCACTGGGCAGGGACAGGAAGACTCCATCAAGACATGGGGCTTCATTTTCTTCCTTTCATCTCCCCTCCAGCTCACTGCCTGAGGTGTTAAAGTGGACCCCTGAGAGTTCCCATACTGCTTTCCTCTGCCCAGTGCCTCACCTCAGGTTTACTGGGCTCCTCCTTTTCTCCAGACCTTGCTTGAGGATTCCCACTAAGCCCAAACCCATGAGCATTGACAGAATTCAAAGGAAGGGCCTCAGCCCCAACCGCATCTCACCTCCACCCGGCACCCAGCTGTGGGTGGGGGAGGGGCTCGAGGGTGACATGCCTTTCCACGACCCTCCTCCATACCCCTCCATACCGGCGCCTCAAGGGTGCCGCTCCCACCCTTTCCTGGGGGCTCTGCATTGCCAGCAGCCCTTCTTGCCGCCCTGGGAATGGGAGCGTCCAGGTTCTAGCCCTCATCCCGCCTGCGTCCTGTCCCTGCCTCTTGTTACTGTAGCTGTCCCTGTCCCGCCCACCTACTCGAAGCCTGGCCCACGCGCAGATGGAGCCGGCAGGTGAGCGCGCGGTCCCGGAGGAGGCGCACGGCGGCGTGGTACTCGCCGGCGTCGGCGCGCAGGGCCGGGCGCAGCCACAGCGAGAAGTCGCCGCGCTGGAGGCCGCGCTCGTTCAGCTGCACACGCGGCTGCAGGGGGAGCCGCCCGCTGCGCAGGCCTCCGGGGGCCACACTCAGCACAGTGTAGCGCTGCGGGGCTGGAGCTTCCTCCGTGCGAGGGCCGAGGTTCCAGCGCCGAGCGGGGGCGAGAGCGGCTGGGCCACTGTGCAGGGGAGAGATTGGAACTGAGAATGTCGAGGGGTGAGAAACCCCGAGAAGATTCAGTGCGCCACACTGTAAGAGTGCACCAGCCAGCTCCAGGAATCCTTAGAGCACGGGCCATCCGCACCCCCACCCTGTGCCCTCTGCTTTTGGGCTGGCACCATGCACTGCTGATAAGGCTGCCTGCTAGGGGATGCAGGTATGAGGAAGCAGGCTGCCCATGGGGGCAAGGGAGGATTGGGCCCCGGTTGGCAGGTCGGGTCAGACCCCTCAGGTATAGGGAGGGTGCAGGGTGGGCTTGGAAAGGAAGTGGGTTGTGTCTGGATACCCTTAGTGCGGATTCTGGAGGACCTGTTTCCAGGTTTGGGGTGCGTACCTGTCTGGTTGATGCTGCCAGGTGACCCCTCCTCTTCGCAGAAGGCTGGGATCCTGGAGGGGGATTGTGGGGCTGCAGGGGAGCTGGGCAGGAGCCCCCTCCTGAGCCCATACCACCGTGATCTCTTTCTCAGGCCCTGGAGCCTCCACTGGTGGAGCAAAAGAGAGTCCAAGGGAGGAGCCATGAGCCAAGGACAGGGCTACTGAAGGGCCTTAGGGTGAAAAAGGGCTTGGGTGCCCTTGCCTGCAGAGACTGAGGAGAGGTGGTGGAAAAGCCATCCCTGACTCCACCGCAGAGCCCTGGACCAGGGGGTCTTGGAGGAAGAGGTCTCTGCTGACCCCTCCCATGGGTTGGGAGGGCACCCTGACCCTACCCCACCTTACCTGGAGCCACCCACAGCAGTTGCAGAAGCATCAAGCCCAGGAACTGAGTCCACCCCATCTCCCCTGTGGCCTGTGCCAGGCTGAGCCCTCCAAAGGAAGGTCAGCAAGGGGAGAGGGGGACTAAAGAAAAGTTCTGCAAAGAGAGCAATGGAGAGAGCCCCCACCCCCACCGGTGAGGCCTGGAAAGAGAATGGGGGGGACCAGTGATGGAGGCTGGAATCCAGGCAGCAGGGGCCAGGGCACCCTGGGGACCAGGCAGGGCAGTGGTGGAGCAGATTGGAGTTAAGGTGGCGGTAGCTGGATGCTGCTCTGCTGCTCCAAGGCCCTGGCCCCGTCCTTATGTCTCCCTCCACCTTCCCCACTTCCCCTCCACACTGCCCGCCCCCCCACACCCCGGGCTCATGGTTTCATTTCGCAGTGGAAAGTCTGAGGGGGCTGATTCCCAGCAGCAGCAGCACCCTCCACCCCTGTGGTGGCAGTCTCCTTGTTTACTTCCTCAGACCTGGGTCTGCCCCCAGCCCTCTCCTCACCCCTTCCCTGCACTGCACCCTGCCGACCATTTCTATCCTAGCTACCTACTTGCCCATTTCTAAACTGTTTGACTGGTCCCAACCTGTAGTCTCCTCCTTTACTCCCTAACCTCCCAGAATTTCCTCACCCTGTAGACCTGGCTACCCAGCCATCTGTGGGGCTCCTGGATCAGGGTGGGCAGGGAGCTGCCTTGCACCCAACAAGATAGACCTGGGCAAGGCAATGCCGAGGGGTGGGTAGAACAGTTACACAAGGCCGCTTCCTTCTGCGTTCTGCCCCAAGCACCATGTTGGACACTACATATAGTAACTTGTGAAATCTAATGCTTCCCTCCATTGAACAGATGGGAAAACTGAGTATAGTTCTGACACTGGATATTAGGGGCCTTCCTTGGTTGATTAACACTACTGGCTGTGGGTGCCTCTCCTCTCGAAGGTTTCCTCCAATCTATAGGTTCTGCACTGAGAGGGAAAAGGTGACACAAACTTCGAGAAAAACAAATCCTGGGCCAAGTGAAACCCAAGAAAAGAGAATGGGTTACCGGCCAGTTCTTGTTCCTTAGCCCAGCCTAACCCAGCAGCCCAGCAGGGAGAGCTGAGGAGCAGGTGGCAATGGGACAGGCCTGGGAACAAGAGCCAGGGTTTGCCCTTGTCAGAAGGAGCTTGCTTCCTGAATATCAGGCACAAGGCATCTTCGCCAGGCCCTTCTCCTCACAGATCTTGGAAAGGTGAGACCTAGGCCTACTAGTCTGTCCCACTCCAGGGGCGGAACTTCCTGTTTCTAAGGCTGTTTCCATTTGCCTGGTTCAGCACAATAGAACTGGTAGCTTTCCACTGGGCTCAGCACTGTCTAGATCTTGTGTGGGTTACCAGGGAAGTGTGTTACTGGGGAGGTGGATCCTCAAGAAGCCAAACAGAAACACAGGTCAGCTCTCCCTCCCCCACGAGCTAGCCTCCCAGTCCACCTCAGAAAGGTTGGTTGTAGCTCCTCAAATCTCAGGTGTGAAGTCAGCTTCCCTTCTCCCTCTCCACTCTCCTTGCACTGACTGGACTCCCGGAAAGCAGGACACAGGTTAAAAACAGAAGCGCGACCATTTCTTTATTAAATTATACAAAAAGGGGAGGGGAGAGGGGCAGCTATGGGGCTCGGCCCCAACCCTGGCCCTACCCCGGCCTGGCGCTGTCTGAGAAGAGGGGATCTGAGGGAGACCCAGGGATCAGGCAGGAGAGGGATGGACAGAATGTGAGGCTTGAGGATGCAAGGGGCAGAGGAGAGAGGCTACCCCAGGACAGGGATGGTGGACTGAGTGGGTGGGGGTAAGAGAGCAAGAAAAGGTGGGCGGATGGGACCAGCTGGGGAGCTCGAGGTGGATGGATGGCAGAGTGAGGGTAGGGCAGTGTCTGAGAGTTAGAAATGAGAGGACTGGGAAGAAAGAAAAGGATGGCTGCTCTGGGACAGGGCCCAGAGCAAGAAGCCAGGTGACAGGTGGCCACTGGTCTGTTCCCACCCCCACCTCCAGACCCCAAGGGGCCTCCCACTGCCAGCCCCAGGGTGGGGGCTCATGCCGATGCCCCATTTTCTGTCTTCTGCCGCTTTGGATCTGCTTCATCCTGTGGAGAAGAAGAGTCTGGGTAGCTATAAAATAGAGAGGGGACCACCCTGTGCCCTCTAGACTGGTCCAGCCCCCACCCATACCACCACATGGATCTGCGCCCAAACTCATCAGGCGCCCCTCAGCAGTGCAAACCTCCTCTTCGGCAGCTCTCTTCAGCGCGGGCCCTTCATCTTCCTCTTCCTCTTCTTCCTCATCTGAGGAGCCAGAAATGGGACATTGGGGAAGGGCAGAAAGCTCTGGCAAAGATCCCCTGTGGGCACCCTCAGCCCTGCTTTGCTTCAGGTCTTCACGCCCACCCTGACCTCTGCTCCTACAGGCTCCAACTTCTCAGCCCAGCTTTCCCTGCCCTCCCCCACCTTCTTCATCCCCTTCATCTTCCTCCTCTCCATCCTCAGCAGTTTCTTCCTCTTCCTCTTCAGCACCGTTCTCCTCTTCCTGTGGAAATCAAGAAAGGGAGTGGCCATCAGGGTGGCTCTGTGCCCTCACTCATTGGGTGACTAGAGGACTTGGGAGGGGGCTCTAGGTAGGACAGTGAAGATAGGTGGGGTCGAGGGCATGGCAGCATCCAGACCTCAGGCAGGTGATGAAGGATAAGATATGGGGGAAGATGGGCTGTTCCCCAACCCCTCTGTACCTCCACCACTTCTTTCTTCCGCTCTTTCCGGCTTGCCTTCTCCTCCACCTTCTCTTTCTTCTCCTTCAGGTCCTATGAAAAGAAAAAAGTCATCTTTCCCTCACCACATTCAGCCCCGAAATCTCTCCAGACCTATTCCTCCCTTTCTGAGGGAGCTCAGAGAATGTGACCTGAAGGAAGGTACAGCCGATAGAACAGAGGTTCCAAGTCTTGGGATTATGGCCACAGAGGGGCTAACACCAGGCTCTTCCCCTACAACCCACAGCTGTGGGAAACTGAGAAAAGGGGAGCAGGCAGCCATTCCCACCCTGTCAAATTCTTCCAAGCTGTCTGGCTGAAGAGTTCAGCTCAGTAAAGCAAATCCCCTCCATCTGCAGGCGCCTCCATGCCCCACCCCCTTGTGTCCCTCCGCCTTCCCTGCCTGACTGTCTGGCCCCCTCCACTGCTGCCCGCTCTGCCTTTTGTCTACCTCTGGGGCCTTTTCCTGAGTGTCTCTTTCCTGGGCAACCCTCCCAGCTTCCCCTTCAGCTTCTAAGGTCTTTGTCTCTCATGGTCTCTTCGTTTCCCTAAGCCTCTTGCTCCTACTGGCTAGACACCTCTGGAATAGGGAGAGCATGTGAGTACATTGGGCTCTCGCACCTCAACCCACTTGAATCATCTCTATCGCCAGTTTGTCAGTCCTTCTGTGGTGCACACATTGGTGCAGTGGGAGAAAACTGGCCATCTCTAGTGAAAGTGGAGGCCCAGTGGGGTAAAAGCTCAGAAGGGAAAAAGTACCAGATCAAGTAAGCAAGGAGAGCAGCAGCACATAAGGTCTGTGTTGGAGGGACAGGAAGGCAGAGGGGGGTACCCATCCAGAGTCTCCTTCACCCCAAGATCCCAGCAGACATACATTCCACACCCTGCTATGAGCCGGCAGAGGGAGCTGCTCATATGGGCATCCTCTCTGCACCCCACTCCAGCCTTCTGGTCCAGACTCCAGTTCTACCCCACTCCACCCCTTGGCAAGTGCTGGAGACACCATAAGTGTCCTGCGAGATCTGATCCGGTGCTGGTGTGTAGACTGCACCTGACTCCAAGTGGAGGAAGTTTGCTGCGTGAGCAGCATGCCCTGGAGGGTGTGGCTTTCTGGAACAGAACTGGGGTGGGAAAGGGGCTGGGCACCAAGTGGCCTAGGGTGTACTCAACTCCCTTCTAACTTCAAGGGAAGCACAAGACACTGAACTCTCTCTACCTAGGCGTCTACTTCATCCCACTCTTGCTGTCTTCATTTCTTGGCCACAGATAGGATTGGAACTTCTCCTATTTGGTGGGCTTTTCACTATGTTCTGGACTGGGAGCCCTAAGTTGGCTTCTCTATGTTCAGCACAAGGTCTGTTAAGGCCTGGCCAAGTTTCTCATCTGGGCTGAGGCAGGTGGGGAGGGAGAGTACCAGAGATCAAAGTCCAAGGGGCCGGGCCCTCTCCTCCCCTGTCCTGTCCTGGTCACTGTCCTTCCATGATCCCTTTGCAGGGGGTAGGTGATCTGGGTCCTAGGCCTTGCACTCAGCAACTCTCTGGCCTCAATGCAGGCACACACAGTGCCACAGGCTAGCACGATTCACAAGACAGAGGCCCACGCGATCCGGAACCACATGGCCCAGTGTTTGGCATCCTGGCACTTTCTTGTGCCAGTGCGAGATCACAGCAGAGCCACTCACACTCACAAAGCAGCAACATGGCTCCAGAACATCTCTGTCTCCACATGCACACATGTAGCTGCACTGGCAGTCCCCCACACACCGATTTCAGACATACAAAGACACCTACTCAGTGAAGTCACATGCCACAGCACGGCTCACCGGAGGGCCACACGGCACACTTCGTCAGCTCTCACACGTCCCCGCTCCCACTGCCTCTGATCCCACTGGTTCCCCTTCCACTTCGCAGGCCACCAGAACTGTGTGTCTCCTCCGAAACCCCCAAGACGGATTCCCAGCCTCCAAAACCTGGCCGCATTAATTTCCCCAGGCAACACACCGCAGGCTCCCTGGGGAAATTAGAGGAGGGCTGGCAAGGGCAAAGGGATCAGGCGAGATAAGAGCAGACCTCTCGATGCCAGACCACGCAGTGCCTGGCCTTGGCTTTTGCGACAGCCCTTCCAGACCCCGCTTCTGATTTTTAGGAATTCAAGATGGGGGAGGGAGGTGATGGAGAGAAAAGAAAACTGAAAGCCGGGGCGTAGGGAGGGAAGGGATGGAGACGGACGGGCAGGAGGAAGCGCAGGGCGCAGGCGTTGCAGGAGGGAAGGAGAGCCACGGGGCCGCGAGGGAGGGCCCTGTTTACACCGAGGATCGCAACCCGCTCAGCGAGGTCGGAGGGCGGGAGGGCGCGGAGACCTCCTCCGACGGGCGGCGGCGGCGGCGGGAGGGGAGGCGGGCTGCGTCCGGGGCCCCGGCTCTCGGCGCCCTCGCGGCTCAGATCATCCGGGCGCCGGGGCGGGCGGCAGAGATCGCGTCCCGGAGGAGCAGGAGGAAGAGCCGAGGCCGCATCGCTTTCGCGCCACACCTGCCTGGCGTCCCCCCTCCCCCCTCCCCAGCCGCCCGTCTCCGAGCCGCAACCGCTGGACGCCCGAAGCTGCCGACCCGGCCGGCGCGGAGACCACGGCTCTCCAGCTCCTGCGCGCGCTCCCGTCTCCAGCGCTGCCGCCGCCACCTCTAGCGCGGCCCCGCGCAGGCGCGCTCACGCCGGCCCCGCCC